CTGTTTTTTCCTTCACAGATGTTGCCAGACCTGCTGAGCTTTTCCAGTAACTTTGCTTTTGTACATTTATTTTCTATTTTGTAAAACCTTTTGCTTTTGCCAAGACTGTAACCTGTTTGGTGAATTTCTGCTGTGAAGCCTCAGTAAAATGCTGATTTATTTATATATATCTGTACTTACATGTTAATTTGTCAATTAACTGATGGATCAGACTGCAGTTTAGAATACTGTAAACATTGATGGTGGTGGTTTGTTGCTATGTTACTTTTATGTTGTGGATGCAGTCATAGAGTCATAGAGTAATACAGCATGGAAACAGGCCCTTCAGCCCAAACTGGTCTATGCTGACTGTGGTGCCCACTCAGCTAGTTCCATTTGCCCGCATTTGGTCCGTGTCCCTCTAAACCCTTCCCATCCATGTACCTATCCAGATGTTTTTTTAAATGTTGGTATTGTACCTGCCTCAACCACTTTCTCTGGCAGCCCATTCCACATACGCACCAGAGGTTTCGCATTTGCAGTTTTCCAATTCTCCAGAATTCAGTGATTCTTTTGGAAAATTACAACCTGATTACAGCTTGTAAGTGACTGCTGCCGTGTAACCTTTAAGCAGTCTTGTCTCCTAACCTGTACAGGATGTTGAAGCAGCAGGGCCAGTGCTAACTGCCACCAAAATAATTTGGAGGGTTCTAAGTATCATTTGATGTATATTTACATGTAATGAGGCACCTGCCTGTTTCCATCAAGGCGTAACTTGCTCAAGCCTTCACTCACTTGAGAAAACGGAGCAGGCTTACCTCCAGCAATCTGGTGACAGCTTAAAACAACATGATTTTTGTTCTTTTCTGCCTCATTTACAGTTAAAAAAGCAGAAGCAAAATGAAGATGAACCTCAGTGCCTTCACATGATGGTGCCTTGGTTTAGTTTTCAAAATTTCCAGGTGCAGTCATGTGTTAGATTCAAACTCAGATTTGGGTAAACATTAGCCTGTGAATTAGCGACATTCTAGCTGAACATGCCAATTTGGAAGATAGCAGCCTTTCATCTACTAAGACAATGGTTTGCATCATGGTGCAGTCACCTGTGAACTAGGCATTGCCTGTGTAACTTGGGAATCCCACTCCATCATGGTAGCCTTTGTTGCATTGCCTGAAGAGGAAGACCAGACTAAGAAGGTGCACAACCTTCTAGTCAAGTGACCTCTCTTTTCTTTGAGTCCACTCCTCAGTCAACTGAGTTATTTGTCAATAATGCATCAATATTGAGAAAAGAATTTTGTCTCTGGTTTGCTCTGCTCCACAGCTGGTGGTCAAGTGAGTGTAATTCGTTGAGCAGAGGTAGTCCTCTGCTCTTTGTAAAGTGCCTATTTGCACTCATGAACCTAGACAGAACAGTAGTTTGATTGTGTGAAGGTATAAGAGCAAAGCGCATGCTGTGCTCATCAGACATTCTAACGCTCTGGGCATCTGTCATCCAGCAACAAACAGGAAACCTCCTGATCTGTACACTGTAAACTGTGTTTAGTCACTAAGCCATCAGAGGAATTTACAGTGTTAAAGCAGCACTGGTAGGAAAAAAAAACACATTCCCACTGATTACTGTAACCACTTGCTCAGTTTGTCACCAATGGCAAACTGAGCTTGTCATTTGTAGTGGCATACAGCCAACTGCTCCACCTCTTTCTTAGAAAGCATTGAATGTTAACAGCGTGCCTTCAGAATAAATGGAAACACGTCAAGTCTAGAAAGCCTGTAGAACAATATGAAACAACTTGATTTATTTGTTGATTCTTTCCCCTTCCTTACCTTTGTCCCTGGCTAGGTAGGAAGGCCTTCTCTAGGCCTCTCAATCTCCTCCAAACGTTGGCTCAGCCACAGTCCAAAATGACGAAGCCATCTGTAACTTAGGATCCTGACTTCCCTTGCTATCCCCCACTGATAGCTCAACTGTGTTCGAGAAGTAGTTATGACGGAAGAGTGGGCTGACCAATATTCCTCACACCTTCAAAACTAGATTAACCAGTCTTACATACCATGAACAATTTGTGAAGCCTTACTGTGTGCAATTAGTTGCTATAGTTGTCCAGATAACAGTGATTGTGTTTCCGATATGACCATTCATCTGTTTCTCTCTCTACAGATGCATCTGGATTTTTTTTCTTTTCCTTTATGGGATGTGGGCATCACTGGCTGGCCAGCATTTCTTGCCTATCCCTAGCTGCCCTTGAGAAGGTGGTGGTGAGCTGCCTTCTTGAACCGCTGCAGTCCACCTGCTGTAGTTTGACCCACAATGCCATTAGGGAGGGAATTCCAGGAATTTGACCCAGAGACAGTGAAGGAACGGTGATATATTTCCAAGTCAGGATGGTGAGTGGCTTGGAGGGGAACTTGGAGGTTGTAGTGTTCCCATATGTATGCTGCTCTTTTCCTTCTAGTTGGAAGTGGTCATGGGTTTGGAAGGTGCTATCTGAGGTTCTTTGGTGAATTTCTGCAGTGCGTCTTGTAGATAGTACACGCTGCTACTACTGACCGTCAGTGGTGGAGGGAGTGGATGCTTGTGGATGTTGTGCCAGTCAAGCGGGCTGCTTTGTCTTGGATGGTGTCAAGCTTCTTGAATGTTGTTGGGGCTGCACTCATCCAGGCAAGTGGGGAGCATTCCATCACACTCCTGATTTGTGCCCTGTAGGTGATGGACAGGCTTTGAGGAGTCGGGAGGTGAGTTACTCGCCGCAGTATTCCTAGCCTCTGGCCTGCTCTTGTAGCCACTGTGTTAATGTGGTGAGTCCAGCAGAGTTTCTGGTCAATGATAATCCCCAGAATGTTGATAGTGGAAGATTCAGTGATGGTAACACCATTGAATATCAAGGGATGGTGGTTCGATTGTCTCTTATTAGTGATGGTCATAGCCTGGCATTTGTGTGGCGCGATGTCACTTGCCACTTGTCAGCCCCAGCCTGGATATTGTCCAGATCATGTTGCATGTGAACATGGACTGCTTCAGTATCTGAGGAGTCACAAATGGTGCTGAACGTTGTGCAAACATCCCCACTTCTGTCCTTATGATGGAGGGAAGGTCACTGATGAAACAGCTGAAGATGGTTGGGCCTAGGACACTACCCTGAGGAACTCCTGCAGAGATGCCCTGGAGCTGAGATGATTGACTGCCAATAAACACAATCATCTTCCTATGTGCCAGGTATGACTCCAGCCACCGGAGAGTTTGCCCCCTGATAACCATGGATTCCAGTTTTGCTGGGGCTCCTTGATGCCACACTCGCTCGAATGCAGCCTTGATGTCAAGGTCTGTCACTCTCGTCTCATCTCTGGAATTCAGCTCTTTTGTCCAAATTTGAACCAAGGCTGTAATGAGGTCAGGAGCTGAGTGGCCCTGGCGGGACCCAATCTGGGCGTCACTGAGCAGGTTATTGCTGCGCAGGTGCTGTTTGATCACACTGTTGGTGACACCTTCCATCACTTTACTGATGATCGAGAGGAGACTGATGGGGCAGTAATTGGCTGGGTTGGATTTGTCCTACTTTTTGTGTACAGGACATACCTGGGTAATTTTCCACATTGTCGGATAGATACCAGTGTTGTAACTGTACTGGAACAGCTTGGCTAAGGGAGCAGCAAGTTCTGGAGCACAGGCCTTCAGTACTATTGCTGGAATGTTGTCAGGGCCCGTTGCCTTTTCAGTATCCAGTGTCTCCAACTGTTTCTTGATATCACATGGAGTGAACCAAATTGGCTGAAGACTGGTATCTGTAATGCTGGGGACCACTGGAGGAGGCCAAGATGGATCATCCACTCGGCACTTCTGACTGAAGATTGCTGCGAAAGCTTCAGCCTTATCTTTTGCACTGATGTGTTGGGCTTTTGCATCATTGAGGATGGGGATATTTGTGGAGCCTCCTCCTCCAGTGAGTTGTTTAATTATCACCACCATTCACGACTAGATGTGGCAGGACTGCAGAGCTTAGATCTGATTTGTTGGTTTTGGGATCGCTTAGCTCTGTCTATCACTTGCTGCTTTCGCTGTTTGGCGTGCAAGTAGTCCTGTTTGGTGGCTTCACCAGGTTGATACCTCATCTTCAGGTATGCCTGGTGCTGCTCCTGGTATGCCCTCCTGCACTCTTCATTGAACCAGGGTTGATCCCCTGGCTTGCTGGTAATGGTTGATTGGGGGATATGCCGGGCCATGAGGTTACAGATTGTGTTGGAGTACAATTCTGCTGATGGCCAACAGCACCTCATGGATGCCCAGTCTAGTGTTGCTAGATCTGTTTGAAGTCTGTCCCCATTTAGCACAGTGATAGTGCCACACAACACAATGGAAGTTATTCCATTGCAGGTGGGACTACATCTCCACAAGGACTGTGCGATGGTCACTCTTATCAATGCTGTCATGGACAGATGCAACTGCAGGTGGCAGATTGGTAAGAACAAGGTCAAGTATGTTTTTCTGTCTTGTTGGTTCCCTCACCACCTGCCGCAGACCCAGTCTAGCAGCTATGTCCTTTAGGACCCGACCAGCTCGATCAGTAGTACTGCTGCTGAGCCACTCTTGGTGGTGGACATTGAAATCCCCCACCCAGAGTACATTTTGTAGCCCTTGCCATCTTCAGTGCTTCTTCTAAGTGTTGTTCAACATGGAGGAGTACAGATTCATCAGCTGAGCGAGGACGGTATGTGGTAATCAGCAGGAGGTTTCCTTGCCCATGTTTAACCTGAAGCCATGAGACTTCATAGGTTCCGGAGTCAATGCTGAGGACTCCCAGAGCAACACCTTCCCGACTATATATCACTGTGCCGCCCCCTCTGCTGGGTCTGTCTTGCTGGTGAGACAGGACATATCCAGGAATGACAATAGTGGTGTCTGGGACATTGTGAGTAAGGTATGATTCTGTGAGTACAACAGTGTCAGGCTGTTAGCTTAATTAGTCTGTGAGACACTCTCCCAATTTTGACACAACCCCCAGATGTTGGTAAGGGGGACTCTGCAGGACAGTTTCTGCCGTTGTCTTTTCCGGTGCCTAGGTCGATGCCAGGTGATCCATCCAGTTTCATTTCTTTGCGACATTGTAGTGATTGGTACAACTGAATGGCTTGCCAGGCCATTTCAGAGGGCAGTTGAGAGTCAACCACATTGCAGTGGATCTGGAGTCACATGTAGGCCAGACCAGGTGAGGATGGCAGGTTTCCTTCCCTGAAGAACATTAGTGAACCAGATGGGCATTTCTGGCAGTCAGCAATCATTTCATGGTCATCAGTAGATTCTTAATTCCAGACTTCTTTTCTTTTTAATTATTGAATTCCAATTCCACCATCTGCCGTGGTGGGATTCGAACCCAGTTCCCCAGGACATTAGCCCGGTTTCTGGATTACTAGTCTAGCTATAATACCACTAGGCCATCACCAACCCTGATCTGCTGAGTTTCTCCAGCATTCTCTGTGTTTGATTTGGATTTCCAGCATCTGCAGTATTTTGCTTTTATTTTAGTGAGATTTTATTTTAGTAATTAGGACAAGGGCGGCAGATACCTGAGAACACCCTCCTCTTGCAAGTTCCCTTCCAAGGCACTCACCATTGTGACTTGGAAATGTATCGCACTTCCTTTAATATCGCTGGGTCAAAATCCTGGAATTGCTTCCCTAATGAAATTATGGGTCGACCTACAGAAAGTGGACTGCAATGGTTCAAGAAGGCAGTTCACCACCACCCTCTCAAGGGCAACTGGGTATGGGTCCTCAATAAATGTTGGCCTGACCAGTGATTCCTACATCACATCAGTAAATAAAAAAGAAATCTTAATTTTGAAGCGTTTTTCAAAATATGGTAAGATGCTGAAAAAGTACAAGTTATTTCTGTGAGGGATTCTTACGACAGTTTTGCAGAGCATCTGCACTTTGTACGCTCCACTCAACACCACCGTCTGGTTACCAGCCAGTTCAACTCACCCTCCTACTCCCTTGGCGACATGTCCATCCTGGGCCTCCTCCAATGTCACAATGAGGCCACAGGAAAATTGGAGGAACAACACTTTACATTCTGCCTCGGGAGCTTACAGCCCAATGGCCTCAACATAGAATTCACTAGCTTCTAAACCTCCCCACCCCGACCTCACTTCATCTCCAACCCTCCCTCTCATCTCTGCCTCCTTGACCCGACACAACTTGTCCATCTTCCTTCTCACCTATCCACCCCACCCTTCCCACTGACCATTCTCCACAACCTGCATCTACCTATCACCACCCCACCTGCCTTCGCCCAATCCCACACCCCCTCCCTCTATTTATTGCTGAGCTCCCTTTCCCTTCCCCAGTCCTGATGAAGGGTCCCAGTGTTGACTTTCCTGCTCCTCTGATGCTGCCTGATCTATTGTGTTTCTCCAGCTTCACACTGTATTGACTGTTTCTTATGAGGGGTTTGTCAATGTCCAACACTCAGTGATGCAGTGAATTAGAGCTGTTCAAGTAGGAGAGAATGAGAGGTGAAATGCAATTTCATGTTTCAATACCTTTCCAACTGGACGTTCTGAAGAAATACATGGGTTCATTTTCTCTAGCAGTGAATTTTATAATCTGTCATTAATCATGAGACTCTTACATAATGCAGTGGACTACGTATATAGATAAAAGTCACACTTTCGGACAATGGTATGAGTTTGCGCATCTTCTTCTCTGCATGTTTGACATGGTACTGTAATGATGATGTTTTGAGACTTAATCTGGACAACTGCCATGATACTCCAAAGAATGTGTTCAGTTTTCATCCTGACAGGTTAACAATTTTAATTCAGATTTTTAAAAAAGAGTCATGAAATTGTCAGTAAAATTGATCACACAGATTTCTGGTTGTTATAAATGTGCAACAGAATCAATTTCAGCCACTGTCCTTTCAGGTTGGAAACCTGCCTTGCCATCTGGTCTCGCATTTAATTTAAATGGGGAGAGATTGTAGAATTCTGCAATACTGAGGCATCCGGGTGTCCATAAGACCATAACCAAAAGATATAGGAGCAGAACTAGGCCAGTCATCCCATCTAGTCAGCTTCACCGTTCAGTGAGATCATGGTTGATCTGTTATTCCTCAACTCCTTTTTCCTGCTTTTTCCCCATAACCCTTGATTCCCTCAATGATGTCTCTGTCTACCTCTGACTTGAATATACTTAACAACTCAACCTCATCAATCCTCTGTAATAAATAATTCCATGGATTCATTACCCCCTGAGTGAAGAAACACCTCATCTCAGTGTTAAACATATGACTCATTATTCTGAAGTTATGCCTTCTGGTCCTGGACTCTCCAACAAGGGGAAAAGACCTTTTCATATATACTCTGTCGATTTCTTTAAGGATCTTACATGTTTCAATAAAGTAGTCTCTTATTTTTCTAAATTCCAATGGGTACAGGCCAATCCCACTCAACCTATCCTCATAAGGCAGTCCCTCCTTACCTGGCTTCAACCTAGTGAACCTTCTGTGGA